CAGGCCGCGGTTGCCATGGCAGCGCAGCCGCCGCGCCTGATGCTGGCGGCGTCTACGGGAAGCGCGGGCCCTGAGCCCCGCGTGGGCGGTCCGGTGGCGTCCCCAGCTCGCCTTGACCGGTGCAGCCACCGAATAGCCCTCGGGCATAGCCGGATCTTGCTAGTCTTGGCCCCTTCTTGTGTCCTCGCCGACGGGGGCGGGTCATGGCTTGGAGACTTTCCAGTTCGTGGGGACCGAGTTGGTCGTCCCGGCAAGGTCTGAACTAGGCAGACATGTGCACGCGCGCTCTCTCACACGCACACACCAGAGGCCTGAAGTCGTGCTTCTTTTCCGCCTAAATCTAAGAAAGAGGATATGCTTCCAAACGGAGAGGCTGTCTTCTAAAACAACGTTGAGACCGATGCTGCATTTCTTAAAGGCCGTTTTAAATCGAAAATGTTCGTGTCTGGAAGGGCGTGCTGGATTCTGAATCCGAATTGGCAATCTACAGTGGGCTTCACCTAGAGGATCCGGTTGTAGGGCTTTAAATTTAATACGTTTACACCATCCCCACCCCCTGTTAGGGCAGTGGTCTCATTAGGAGAGAAGAAACCTCTCGCCGATACAAAGCTCATTCTCTGGCGTGAGAGTATTTTTAACTGAGGCGGAGTCTGTCACGTGTTTGTGATTTTAATCAAATTGACAAGAGCTCTGAACAGGGAAAGCTTGCTGTCTAATTCGAAGACAACATTAGGGACATAGCGAAGCACACTCTCTGGTCTTGTTTGAATCAGAGTTTTTCACGTCTAATGTTCTGCATATATTTTCCTCGATCCACTGCAACTGGAAAATTTAAATCAAACCCTATTTCTTATATTCATTTTTATGGTAAATGTCTCTGGGCTGAGATTATGCATATTCTCGATCAACAAGAAACCGGAGCGGCAATCACCATGAATTGAGCACCTTGCTGATTGAGCAGCACTTGAACCTGGAGGCATGAACAGCCATAATCTGAGTGAAAATCCTTCGCAGTGGATTTCAAAAGCGTATTTACAGCTAACCTTTTCCACTCCAAAGGATCGTTCAGTTGCTACCTTCTTATCCTTCGCTTTGTCAGAGTGATCTCTTTTAAAAACTTCTTCCATACACTTGTTAGTTTGTGGTTGGAGAGATGACCATGTAAAGGTATTTCTAGGGAGGCAGATGAAAGGACTCAACTGGTCAAGACAGCTGGCTGAGCAAGTCTGACAGCTTAGTAGGACCCCAGGAACCGTGTGAATGTGAGAGGAGTACATCCTGGCACACAGTGCCCACACACAATGGTGAAGCCGGCTGACTTTTTAAAGTATTATAGCCAGACATGGTGGACGGTGCCTGTAATCGGAGCACTGGAGGGGCAGAGGCAGGAAGACCACTGCAGACTGGAGGTCAGTCTGGTCTATACAGTGAGACAACATCTTAAAACAACAACAACAACAAAAAAAAAAACAGCCAAAAGAGCAAATGTGTTAATGAATAAGCTCTCTGTGGGTCTCACTTTGTGTGACTCATGTAGCCTAGGCTGGCTTTGAACTCCTGATTTTCCTTCTTACTCCACAGGAATGCACCAAGTCGAACTATGAATCTGGGGAGACATCCATAGCTATTATCTTGGTCATTTCCTCCTCTCAGTATCAAAAACAGAACCTTATAATTTACGTGGTGGAGAGGAGAGGCTAAATTCTGAAAGTGAAACCAAGTATCTAAAAATAAGAATCTCATGTTTATCTAGTAGTGGGGAAGAAAAACAAAGAACCTATAATACTATATGTACTTAAATTTTCCACTGAAAGGGCCAATCTCTGAATCGACTTCGAATTTGATAGTTTACATGTGATGATAGCAAAAAAGACAGTGAATTTTATCATTAAGTTAGTGCTTATGGAATGTTTTGTATTTGGTAATTCTCGTCGCCTCTCTGATATTCATTTCATTTTCACGAAGGTTATTCATTAGTATAAGCCCAGACCAACTTGGACTGCAGGCTATTGGAAAGGGTCCACAAGCGTTTGGTAAATAGAATTGCCCAGATCAGCTCTTTAACGGCCAGTCTTTTTTGTCCCCCGCCCCCCAGACGAAAGCTGTTATGCACATGAGTTAGACCACCCGTCAGTTCAAGCAAACCCACAGGATGTATGCATGTCCTACTTTATTAATAATACCGGGATTCAGAGGACCTCAGTAGATTCCCCACATAATTTCCTGATGTGGAGACTATCTCCTCCCAGCTGTTGCAGTTCGGTTTCCAGGATTGCGAGGGTTTTGCCTTATCATTTGTGGTTATTGTTTCCTTGGGAACCTGCTATTTATCAAACACTAGATCCATTTCCAAGCTCACCTTTCCTCTTTTCAAATCACCAGTGACCTTCCGTGCTAAGTATCTTATCCTTATTGCAGCCTACCTGCCTCTTATCTAATCCCGTTTTCAACTAGCTGGACAAGTTATCTACCCCGCTTTCATCTTTTAGCAGCTTATCCTAATATGAACTGCTTAATCTTTCTCCATTTTCCAGATTTCCCTACATTGGTGCATTTGCCTATATCCTTTTTTCTATGCTTCCCGTTCCATTTCTTTTTCTTTTTTCTTCATTTCTTATATAGTGCAATGACATAAAGCAAAATGCTTATCTTGTCGCCTCGGAAATGCATGTGTTCCCACAACATGTGCAGTATTCTCGGTCGCAGCAAAATGCAGATGTTTCTGTCGCTATAAGACTCTCCCATCCTGTAGCGTTCCTCCTTGTCAGATATAAAGTCACGCAGAGGTCTCAACATACCCTGTGTCCTTTGAAGAGGTGTTTAGTGTGCTAATCAATTCGACTCTAGACTCAAACATGATTTCAACACTCTCTGTGTGCATTTGTAGTTTGTGACCTCTTCCTTTGCTGTGACAAAGATACCTGGCACAGACAACTTGAAAGAAGGAATGAGGTTCATGGTCCGAGAGCTTTGGTCCATGGTCAGCAGCTCCACGGCATTTGAATTCATGGAGAAGCAGAGTAGAATAGTGGCTGGGCGGGGGTGGAACAAAGCTGCAGGAAAGAGTCAAAAGAAATGACCTACCCTCGATGACCCACTTCCTCTATCCAGGTCCCATCTTCTGATGTCATCAGATTATCACTCCATCAATGGATTAACTCACTGGCTTAAGTCACAACCTTTTCATCTAGTCACTGTTAGTCCTTAGTCCTACCTCTGAACACTGATGCATTGACAACCAGGCTCTGTACATTTAAACCTTTCGGGCTACGTCACCTCTTAGCTATAACACTTCTTTAGGCTTCGGGCTGCTCATCAGCAAAATGATGCTTAGCTCATTAACTTTGGGGACTTGGAAAGATTAAATGAGACTGACTTTGTGAGGTGCTTGGCACGCAGTCAACGTGTCAGCAATGACTGTCATCACCTTCATCATTAAAACACCTTAAACGCTGTTGCCAATTGGTGGTGCATTCCTGAAAGCCGAGCACTTGGGCGGCTGAGGCAGGAGGATCCCCATGAGTTTGAGCCCCACCCCCACGGACACGTAGTGAGAATATATCTCAAAATAAAAAACCAAACCACTGTCCTCGTTATCCCCAACTGAACTCACCTGAATCAGTGCTAGACCGTCCACAGAGAAATGGAATTTTGACCAGACGTAAGGCAGACCCTTTGAGTAAAGGGGTTTGTGGGGGCTGGGAGTACAAGCAGAAAGAGAAAGTCCAAATCTCAGAGCGGTGCTCAAGGGCTTGGTACACAGGTGTCTTGGAAGGTTAGGGCACGGTGAGGTGCCTGAGACGGAAAGTGGGGTGGGAACAACAGCTCGTCATAGACTAACGTTCATGAGATTAGCGATAGCAGAATGGGAGAAGGCCTGGAAAGAAGAGCTCTCTGAACACACACTCAGAGAGGTTATGAGGCCTGCCATACAGGGAAAAGAGGGAAAAATGGGAAACATGGAGAACCCTGATGACACCTGAGGATCAGACCAGGACGCGGTCTTGGGGGTGGGGAGGTTCCCTGCTAGAGTTTAGAATCCACTCTAAGGAGTTTAAGCAAAAGAAATGTGTGAGTGAGTGATTAGTGGCTACGTGCTTGTTTGGGTTGAGGAAATACTCTGGGCTGAGCTTCAGGAATAACTGTTCAAACTACAGTCATCACAGGAGTCCCCAGCTACAGTGCACACGAGCCCCCAGCTACAGCCCACACAAGTCCCCAGCTACAGTCCACACGAGTCCCAACTACAATCCACAGGAGCCCCCAGCTACAGTGCGTAGGAGCCCCCAGCTACAGTGCTTAGGAACCCCCAGCTACGGTCCACATGAGTCCCCACCTACAGTCCACAGGATCCCCCACCTACAGTCCACACAAGTCCCCATCTGTTTGTGCAGCAGGAAAACTGGTTTTACAGCTCCTAGCTTGGAATCCACACCTTGACAGTCACAGTCAGAAACTGGACCCTGTCAGGACATCGCTGACCTCAGGGAGCAGCATGGACAGGGAATCTCTATGCCGGGGCCAGCTTCAGAA